CTCCCCTGTGTTGGGGGGGGTGGGGGGGGGGGGGGGGGAGGGTGGGGGGGGGCGTGGGGGGGGGCAGTTAGGGGACAAGGAACAGGGAGTCTTAGGTAGGGGGTTGGGGGTTCTGGAGGGGCGGGAAGTGGGAGGGGCAGGGGCGGGGCTAGGGCGGGGCTCCACCCGTCCTCTTTTTTGCTTGCTGAAATATGGTAACCCTACTCATGAGTCCATCCTGATCCGTCTTCCCACAGGCTGCGGGGCCGGGAGCCGGCGCCCCCCAGCGCTGAGGCCGGGGAGACAGCTAACAGGATCCAGGCCGAGCACACGGCCGACGACGCCAGCCTGATCTACAGTAACATCCCCACCATGCCCATGGTATGTACCTGGCGGGAGTGGGGGACCAAGTCCACATGCCCTTCCCACCCTGTCTCTGCCCCCCTCCATTTCTTCTCCTGCCTCCCCACGCTTTCACACCACCTTAATGAATGCATGAATATAAGCCAGGCTTTGAGTAGGGCACCCAACCCTCCCATGCATGCCTGGTTCAAGAAATGCACCCCTGCCACCAGCCTGGGCTCCCGGAACTGCGTGGGATTGGCTCTTGCATGCAGAAAATGCACCTCATCCCTCGGGTCTCACTTAGAGGGGAGGACATGCAACGAATGCATTCATGTGAATTCACAAAGTGCACAGGACTAGATTGGGGCTGGAATGCTGGTAACTCCAGGGCATCTCCTGGATGCACCAACCGGGCAAGAAATGTATTTCTGCAGCTGCCTGCTATGGTATCAGGTGCTTGTCATCAGACAGTGCATGCAGCATGCTCTGTGTCTGTTGCACCCTTCAGAGAATGCCTCAGCACAGTCTATGCATGGGATCAAATCATGAATGCACAGTGCATAAAATGCACACAGCTCCATGTGTCTTCCTAATGCATGGCCAGTGCAGGCAATGCAGAGAATGCATTAACTTAACTGGTGCTGCCCCAAGACGCATGAGATCAGTTCACGCATCCTCGGAGCATGAAATCCAGTCAATACATTTCCTAAACATGTTCTGTGATGAGATGCATGAGATGAAATCCTGCATGCGTGGTGCATGAAATGCGCACACCCCCATGCATCTTGCTAATGCATGGCCTGTACAGCTGAGGCAGTGAATGCATTAACCGAGCTGGTGCTGGCGTGGGATCGGCTCACGTGTGCAGCGAATGTGAAACACCCAATCCCACCTCTCTTGCTAGTACACGCCTAATGCAGGAAATGTAATTGCACAGAGGGAGGGGAAACGAGGCCTGGGGCAGCCCATGCAATCAGCTCAGCAGGGTGGATGCAAGTCTCTGCCTGGTGTCTCTGCCTTGCTTCTCGCTCAGCATCACAAGACTCCAGCCGCCCACCGGACCGAAGGTGCCCAGGACGGGGCTGCCACAGCACAGGCCCCGCTAGGCCCCGGGGAGCCGGAGGAGCTGCACTACGCTGCCATCGACTTCTCCAAGCTGCAGCGCAAAGGGGCGGAGCCTCCGGAGGCCCCCGCCACGGAATATTCCGAGGTCCGGCGGAAATAGCCCCTTCGCGCCATGGGCCCAGGCTGGGCATCTCTGGCCTGTCCAGTGCGCGGTGGGGGGGTACAGTCAGGGGGAAAGGGGAAAGGGGTCGGCTCAGGACTGGAAACCTGGGTGCAAATCCCTGCTCCGCCCCAGACTCAGGGCGGAGTCAACTACGCCTTGGACATGCTGGAGCGCTGCATTGTGGGGACGTATCCCAGAGTCCTCTGCAGCTGGGTCCCAAAGCCTGCCCCCTCCCAAACCCCACTGCCCCCA